TATTTTCTGTATTAACTGTGAATGAATAGAACAAAATAAATTGCCTGTGATGGAAAAAAAAAAGAAAAAAAAGAAAATCAGACACTTTGGATATTAACACACAGCAGTTATGACCATGCCCTATGCCTGAAACACTCACCAGGGTGTTTTCTTCTAATCGTTAGAAACAGCTTTTAAAAAGATTTACTTGATGTGTGTGGGTACTCTGCCTGCATGCTATAGATGCAGGCTGCCATGTGTGGCCTGGGAACTGAACCCGAGTTCTCTGCAAGAACAACTGCTCTAAACAGATGGGCCATTTCTCCAGCCCCAGCTTCTCATCTTTAATAGAAAATAAAACAAGGAGGTTGGGAGGAGTCTTGCTGAAAAATGGAGTGGCCTGGCTATATTTTCTTATCCTACTTCTCTCCCAACAAGTGACACTCCTCGTCTTCATGTGTATGACCAAACTTACAAGTCTGGCTGCCCAAGGCTCCAGGACCAGCTCTGCTCACCACTTAGAGCACTGTGGATGCTGTAAAAACCTTTGTGGCTGGTGCAGTTGACACCATCTATTATACTCTATATGCCTAGAAAAGGCCAAAACCCAGACCCCCAACTAAAGGTGGTTCTCTGAAAATGGAATGCCTAATTAAATTTGTATGTTTAAGCAGAAAAATAAATGATTTCTTTTTATTTTAAAACAATTAGTCCCAGTAAGATTACAATTCTGAAATATTTTTTATTTTAAAACCTTTAGTCCCAATAAGATTATAATTCTGTAATCACCAAGTACTTAGCAGAAAAATACCACTTTCCAGAGTGAGAACTGGCTATGGGGCAAGTGGTCACTGAACCACCACCCAAACAGGGAGGCAACTGGGCCACTCACCCAGCCTGAGTGCTGGGCATAAGAGTAGGAAAGCAGCAACATTTTCCAACTAGTGAGTTAAAGTCTTGATTAAAACGTCCTTTGAAAACATGAGTCTCAGTTTACGTGGAAAACAAGTACCTTTTCATTTTGTAAGAAATAAAGTACAGAAGATTATTAACCTTACCAGGATTGCAGTCTGTAAGGAGTGAGCAGATAGAGAGGAGGACTTTCGAGATGGTTAGTGCTGGGCTCCAGTTGTCTTTCAATATGTCCAAGCAAATAACTCCTTGGCTATTAATATTACAGTGATAAATTCTTGTACGAAACGTAACCTAAAAATAAGGTTATTGTCAAGCAGCATTCCAGTAGGAGACTTTTACTACATTTCAGCTGACTAATCCACAGACTGTGAGGTGACAGAACTCACTCACACCGTCCCCTTTCATTCGAAGGTGATGCCCATTGTCAAAGGCTAAGGGAGTTCAACACTTCCTCTATTCTTAGGGTGTTCTCTTGTCTTTCTCTTCCTTTCTTTGCTTTCTTTTTTCTAGACAGGGTTTCTCTGTGTAGCTCTGGCTGGCCTGGAGCTCACTCTGTAGACCAGGTTGGTCTTGAACTCACAAGAGATCTGCCTGCTTCTGCCTCCCCAGTACTCGGATTAAAGGTGTATACTAACACCACCCAGCAGGGTTTTTCTTTTCTTGATCAGGCTAGCCTTGGACTATGCATCCCAACTAACTGCAAACTTTTGATCCTCCTGCCTGTTGCCATATCCAGAGTGTTGGGATGACATGTTTGGCCTAATTTTAATGTTTTAAATATGAATATTTCTAAGTTTGAATTGTTGGTTGTTTGCTGACCTCTTGTGTTAGCTAGTAGTAATACACTGCTTTTGAGTAAGCTTCAAATCTAATAAGCTTCACTATAAATAGCACAGGTTTTAAGCACTTACCCCTAGAGATGCGTATTGCTAACTGAAGAGCCAACTCAATCAACAATCATCATATTCAGTTAAAACTAGCAAACACTGTATACTCAAGAAGCTGAGATCTTTTCTGACCCATACATCAGATCTAGACTGTCTACCTAAATCACTAAAATGGAGCACCCACGGGTAAGGAGGCCTTGGTAGGACACCAACACAGCATGGAAGAAATCTACCTTTCATGATTACATTTTTAAAACTTCAATGTGTCTCTGACAGGAACAGTCAAATCTGAGAATACACAGACTTCTTACCTTTGGAGGCTTAAAGGGATATTCTGGTGTAAATGTGATATCAAGGAAGAATACACCACCTTCATACACAGACCCCGGAGGCCCGAGAATGGTTGATCTCCACTCATAGATGTTGTCACCTTTGGGACCAGCACTGTGAAAATGAATACACCAGCAGATAAAGGATGGTGACACTGTCTCAGAAAAGGAAAGAATCCCCCGCCCCCATCCTTTTGGTTTAATGTCTGGGTTCTCTTCCTAAAGACTGTGGTATAAACTCATCTTCCATCAGAAAGTGAGCCATGACAGAAGAACATCCGGTCCATGCTAAGTCCAGCAGTTATAACCAGATATGATGCTTTCAACTCTCAAACATCTTTATATGTAAGGCCAACAGCAACTAAAGCCATATCTTAGGAGCTGCGTTGGTGACGTCAGATCTCAAAGACAGTCTCAGTACACGTGTCTCCTTCCTGCAGCTTCTCTGCCTTAGAATGCACCAATTTTGGCTATGGGCTCTCTTGGTCCACACACTCTATTGGCTTTTCTGGTTTCTCTCTTGGCCTCTTGGTCCATTGCCCCTCTCTTGTTTGCTCCCCCCCTTCTCTGTTACCCCTTACTTCCCCCTCCCCACTCCTGGTTCATTCTGCTGGCTAGGTTCAGTCTGGACTCTTCCAGATGCCTCTGCCTGTTCTCCCCCTTTTTTCTAAAACCTTCTCAACCACACCTAGGACAGATCATGTCCTCATTTCTCATTCAGTGACAAATAAGTTTTCTCAGAGCTACATCATCTCTTGTAACCATTTCTAGGACCAAGAATCTTATTTCTGACCCAGAGACTGACTCTTCCTTGTGCTCTATCTCCATAATTTTTGCCCTAACTAAAGTGCTTGGCAGAGTTTGGACCCTGGTGGGGCTGGTCAGCTAGCCAGGCTAGCAAATTGGTGAACTCCAGATTGAGATAAAGACATACAACATAGACTACAATCTCCACGTGCACACATATGAATATGGACACACATACACACACACACACACACACACACACACACACACACACACACACTATTGCTTTAGCTAACAGATTTCTAAGCTCCTCTACTTCTGGTCTCCTGAGACAGAGTAGTCCAGGCTGGCCTGAAGTCATGACCCTCCTGACTCAGCTCCTACAAATGCTGGGTCATCTGTAATCACAATTTGGTGACTTCACTTTTTACTTTATAAACTAGTGAGGGAGAAAGGAGAATGTCAAGTATGTAACTAGTTTTCACTTCAGTGTTAAACTAAACACTAATGGTATAAGCCACTCACCAAACCCTGTTGTTAAATATGCGTGGTTACACCTTCACTTGGCGACACCATCCTTCTTAAACATTTCACTGGCTTCCAGAGGGCTTTGTGTTCAACACCTCAACAAAAGTGGTGACGCTTACCCTCCAATTCTAAGACCTACAAAGAGTGTACTACACCTACCTGTTCCTATCCGTCAGGAAAGTACTCTGGCAAGAACAATTGGGAAATAGTACACTGCATGCAGGCAAATGGCAATGGAACAGACAAAAGTATTCCCCTCAGTCCCCCAGACAGGTTTCTCTGTGTAGCTTCCCTGGCTGTCCTTGAACTCAGAGATCACCTCTGCCTCCCGAGTGCTGGAATTAAAGGCTTATGCTACCACCACCTGGCTCAAAACTGCAAAACTGCCCTTTTTAATACACCAGATTTGCTCAAACTCTCAAATGGCAATGGTTTGGGGGCTGAACAAGACTGTCCCCCCAAATTTATGTTAACTGATTCAAAGCAGGCTTGATCTTTTTCAGATGAGGGGGCAGAGACAAAGTGGAAGGGAGAGGGACTAAGAGGCCCCCTGTGGCTACACTTCCTTAAACCTAACCGCGGTTTCTTTCCCTTTCAGATCGAAGTTAGGAAGAGAGAAAGGAGAAAAGAACAGGACAAGAGTGAGCTGTGCAAAGAACAAGCTGGGGGTGAAAACACTGAACACCAATGACACTGGGATTTTAAAATACAGGCCTGACCAAACTGGGATGACCACATGCAGCACGAGCTCAGACACGGACCTGAACACTGGCCCTGTGACCCCAGTAGGTCCAAAGCCAGTTCAAGCTCTTGTCAGACTCAACAGCGTTCAGGATCTAAAGGAACCTCGGGAAACCCAAGACTGGCTCACAGGCTTGGACCCTTGGAGACAGTTAGGTCAAGAAGGGGGAAGTCATTCTGGAGGAGCTTAGTGCCCTTCCAAGACAGACCTCACCAGCAGAATACTAGCTTTTTACCGGCCACATGAGGGCAGTGCAACAAGACAGCTGTCTGGAAACTAAGAAATGATTTCTTATCACATTAAGATTGCCAGCACTTAGGTCTTGGATTTCCTTTAAAGTTCAATCAACACTATTTCAAATTGCCTTCTAAAAATATTCATTGTCAGGCTGGCAAGATGGTTCAGCAGGTAAAGCTGCTTGCTGCTGAGCCTGAAGACCTGAGTTCAGTCCACAGAACCAGCTTTTCACATACATGCAGACCATCACACCCAGCTGCCCTCCATTTCTTGCTAAAATGGCTGAGGAGGTTTACACTCAGGTCAGCTAAGTCTATTTCTACTAGCCCCTCCCCTTTGTTGTGTAACACGGGCTGACTCTGAACTCAATACTCCCTGTCTCATCTTCCCACGAGTTGGGACTGCTGTGCCCACACCCCAACACCGTTTCTTGCATTAACAGGAAAAACTTTGGTTTCCACAATAAGAAACGCAACTGTCACCAATCCAATGAATGGTTACACTAACTGAAGTTCTGACCTGAGAAATGGAGCACAGTGCTTGAGTCTACCCTGCCTGCCTTCACAAGTCATCTCAAATTTAGCAGTAAGGTGTGTGTGTGTGTGTGTGTGTGTGTGTGTGTGTGTGTGTGTGTGTGTGTGTGTGTGTGTGTGTAGGGCAGAGGTCAATGTTAGGTACCTCCCTTGGCTGCTCTCTATTCTTTGAGATATGGTCTCTTCCTGAGCCTGAAGCTCACACACAGATCCAGCCAGGCTAGTGGAAAAGAGAGCTCTGCCTCACCCTCTCAAGTGCTGGGGTTACAGATGCGTGCCGCTACACCCAGCATTTATGTTGGGACTAGCAAGCCCTGTTTCCACCTCATCATGCCCAGCATTTTTACATGGATTTTGGGGGATCAAAGTCAGTTCCTCATGCTTGTGAGGCCAGCTAGCACTTTATAAACTGAGCCAGGAATATGAACCTGCTAAAATTAGAGTCCGTCTGAAACTAACTGAAAAGAGACCATGGTTTGCCTTCCAGATTTTTTTCATTAAAGAAAAAGTAAGATTTACTATTTATTTAAGTGTATGTGTGTGGGTCTGTACATGTACAAGTGTGTGTGTGTGTGTGTGTGTGTGTGTGTGTGTGTGTGTGTGTGTGTTGGTGCCAGTGGAAGCCAAAGAGGGTGTTTGACTTTCTGGAGCTGCAGTTACAGGCGGTTGTGAGGCACCTGAGGTGGGTACTGGGAACTGAACTTGCGTCCTCTGGAAGAGCAGCAAGTGCTCTTAATCAATGAGCCACCTCTTCAGCCCCACTTATAGATTTTCTTAAACAGACATTTAAAGTTTCTTTGCAACCAAAATATGGTTCAAAACAAAAGTAAAGTAATAAAACTCTTTACAAGGCAAAAACAGATGCTTGTTTCTCGTCAAATATATCAAGAAAAGTGGAAATTGCTTCTAATTAAGCCTTATCTTTTTTATTTCTATAATGGTTTCTGACCTAACACAGGCATGGCACCAGGAGCAGGCACAGTGAGCCACAGCACAATTCTGCTGGTGCAGCCAAGTCTGCGGACGGCCAGGCAGCAGCTCCACTGAGTCGACAAAGGGACTCTCCGCACCAGCAGCTTTCCTTGTGACCCTGTGGCACATGCTCACCTCATTAGTGGGACATTGCTGACTACAGTTCCTGAAACTACCATTGCAGTACCTTCTACTCCACACATGTGGCTTAAAGAGAATTTCAACAGCACCGATGGGTTCGGTCATTTAAGATACAAGCCTAAAAACAAACCAACAAATAATGCCATTGGAAAAGAACAAAACAGAGCCCTGTCATTGGTGCAGTCCTAGTAGGATCCGATGTGCTCTCTGGGTTGACCTAAACTTTTCCAGTATAAAAATTTCCACAAAAACAGCCTCTGTTTTATAGTAATTTTGTGGGTCCTCCCTCCTCCCTCCCTCCAAGCCCTCTGCAGCTCTTCCACGTCTACAGTCAGGCCAGCTACACCCCGTCTTCAAATGAGAAACCCTGAAGCAGAGAGTTACACTCCATGGTAAAATTTGTACTTGTAGCTGTCAACTTTAAAAGTTTATTACAAGACAGCACCTTGGCTTACAGACACACATTTCCTAAGTTTACCATCTTTCCTCTTCCACCTCTGAGGGCTGAGATTATAGGTGTAGGTTTAATTCTAAAGACTTAGTTATCTGCTTAAAAAAAAAACAGAGGTCATGGGGTTGGGAAGAGAGGACAGTGAGGCTGAGCTAGAAGCAGGCAGACAGACATCAGTAGGAAGCGAGAGTAAAGGGCAGCGCAATCCAAGTGAGCTTGCATGCTTCAACAGATCCCAAGCAATTTCTGGCATCCATGCTCTGATGGCTACTCCATAAAGAACCAGCATCCCTAGGGAGCAAGAGGCTGTAAAGATTACCAACTGGCTAGTTATTCCATGGATCTCCTTTACAGGAGTTTCAAGATGGCGAGCAAGCCGCTTATAAGCACACCATTCACATACAACACTCCACTCAATGCCACATTTCAAAATAAGTCTCAGGGCAGTGGCTGATAGCTAGAAACTAACTGAAATCTTCAACAGTGTTGCAGTCATTTCTGGATCGTTACACCTGAGAGGGAGGAGGGTACTGCTAGTATCTGGCAGATAGAGACCAAAGGATGCACTACTAAGTAAGCATCCCGAAGTGCACCAGACAGAGCAAAACACAGAATCACTTCAGCTGTGGATTCCAGCAGTGTTGATGCCAGGAAGCCCTCCCTATCTTGGAGAACATGGCTCAAGGTCAAGCTTGGGAAGGATAGGGCTTTAGCTGGTCACACTAATACCCAACATTATTTTACTGCTCTGTGCCTACTATAGAAAAAGAAATGCACATGGATATCATTACTGTTGGATTTGCACATACTCTGAATGTCCTATGAACTTGCTACTCAAAATATAGTCCCCAGGCAAAGAAGCAATGTCAACATCGCCTGGGATTTTGTTAGTAATGCACACAGCGGACTTCACTCTAACCCAATCCACTTGCTTTTTAACAAGATCCCTAAACTTTTTTTGTTTGTTTGTTTGTTTTTGTTTTTTGTTTTCCAAACAGGGTTTCTCTGTGTAGCTTTTCACCTTTCCTGGAACTCGCTTTGGAGACCAGGCTGGCCTCGAACTCACAAGAGATCCGCCTGGCTCTGCCTCCCAAGTGCTAGGATTAAAGGCGTGTGCCACCACCACCCGGCCCCTAAATGATTGAGTATATTCAAGTTTAGAAGTTAACAGTGGACCTTAAGTGGTGATAAGAATAGTTTTCTAATATTTTACTTTGAAGTTATTGTACTGTAGCTCTTTCCTCCCTTGTCTGTAACTCTGCAGTAAGACAGATCAATGCTTGAAAATACTTAGTTCTGTTGGAAACACTCAAGTCCACAACTGTCTATATTCCCTGACAAACACTATTCAAAACCCATTTCTGAGCTGGGTAGTGGTGGTGCACACCTTTAATCCCAGCACTTGGGAGGCAGAGGCAGGCGGATATCATCAGTGAGTTCAAGGCCAGCCTGGTCTCAAAGCAGGACAGACATGACTGTTACACAGAGAAACCCTGTCTCGAAAAACAAAAACAAACAAAAAACAACAGAAAAAAACATTTCTTTTTCTTCTCCTACCTCCTTGAGACAGGGTCTCTCACTATGTAGGTCTGGTTGTCCTAGAACTCACTAAAGCAGGATGGCTTCAAACTCAGCAGGGATCTGAGTGCTGGGACTAAAGGCTTGAGCCACTACACCTGGCTCAAAAATCTATTTATCTTGTCCTCTATTATCTTGTCCTAGCAAGATAAATATTTACCTATTTATCTTGCTAGGAAGCTCAGAGAGTATGATCAGCATGCTGGTAGCAGACGGTAGATCCTCTCCTCTACAATGAGAAGGTGAGCGCTGCCCTCTCCCTAAGACCTATCTAGTCCGCATATCTAGGGCTTTTATTTAAAACAACAACCAAACCCACAATCACCAACTCTTTCATTAAACAATAGTGATTTGTAACCTAGATGTGGGGAGCAGGAGGAGCTTAAAAAACGTCACCAGAGACTAAGAGGCCTGACGTAGTGGCACACGTCTATAATCTCAGTACTGGAGAAGCTGAGGCAAAAGTAAGACTGGAGTGGGTTGGCCAGTCTGTTCTATAAGACCAGGAGGGGAGAAAGTTGTGTTAAGTGAGCACTGTGCAGAAGTCTACAAAGATCAGAGGAGGATGCTGGGACTGCTAGAGCTGCAGTCAGGTCACCGTCCCTTGGAAAGAACTTGTGGACCAAAGACCCACCTGAACAAGTCCGTAAGACTGGCTCTCACACATCACTGTGTCCAGGGATCTGGACAGCCTCACTAGAACAGAGTGGGCTAAGGCCACTGTGTCTTCCTCAGTAAAGGGAAGGAGACTGGCCTAGGCACCAAGTCATCCCCACAAAGATTTCTAATTCCTGTTACACCAACACTCAACTCTCCAACAGGAGAGTGTCCAACAGGAAGTGAACAAATCTCAAATGGGTCTAAATTCTGTGTTCTCATAGTAGTTAAGCAAGAACTCTACATAAGATAGTAATCGAGTTTTCTTTTGATTACTATTTTATGTGTATGGGTGTCGTCCCTGCACATGTCTGTGTACCACATGCATGCAGTGCCTGCAGAGATCAGAAGAGGGCATCAGATCCCCTTGAACTGGAGTTAAAAACAGTTGTGAGCTGTCATGTGGGTGCTGGGAACTGAACTTAGGTCTTATGGAAGAGCAACCAGGGCACTTACTGCTCAGTCATCTCTATGGCCCTTTCAAGAATTTTTTTTCTCCCATCTTTTGGAAACTATCTCATGTAGAACAGGCTGACGTTGGAATCCTTCCTTCCTCTACCTTCTAAGTGTACAAAGGGATTTTAACTATAACTTTTTATAAAGCACAAAGCTGACTTGTAGCCTACGGATGCTATAGAATTGAGATGCTGCAATGTATTACAAACTAAGAGGAAAAATCTACCTGGGTTATTACACAGGTATGATGTTGGCTATTTGACTACACATCTGTCTTAGGTGTCTCTGGAGAGTGGTAATTTCCTCCCACACAGACTACAAGGCCTACCATATTAGTGTTCAACAATACTTAATCAAAAGCTCAAATATGCACCACTGTTTTGGATTATATAGCAGTATTCAAATCAGGTGAAACAGTGACATCACCACCTCAATTCTAACCAACTAGTCCTTCAATTGTAGTTGAATGACAATCTGATGCATCTGGAAAACAATCTGCTATGTGAAGACTAAAGTCATGACTTGCTTCTATCTTAGTCTGTGTGTGTGTGCATGGGTAGTGGTCAGAGGGCTACCACCAAGTGAACTCAGGGCTCGAGCCCGGATGCTTAGGCGTGGCTGCAGAGCATGTCATCACACTGTCTGATCAGAGTGAAAAAGAAAACAATTTCCAGTGTGACCTGTAAGCAGAGAGGCTGAGACAGGAACGGCTGGACTGGTTTTCAGTAACCTGAAATAAGCAATATGCTTTTATCTCTGGTCTGGCAGCACATGCTGTGAGCTTGGAGAAGGCAAATGAAAGGACAATCAGTTCCCGGGTAACGGCTTGAAATGGAAGGATTAGAGAGTTATAGGAAAGCCATTTTCTTAGAAAGGTTAGCATGAGTATTAAGGATGACAGCACTTTGGATTAGAGGAGAGGGGCTGGCAGAGAGCAGATCCTGTTCAATTTTCCCGGAGACAGGGTTACTATGTCTACAGTCTGCTACTCTGGGTCCTGCTTCAGCCTCCGAGTGCTAGGATTATAGGCATGTACTCCCACGCCCAGCTTTGCAGACTTTTTTGGTGCTGTGTGGAAGATGTCCGGTGTCTTCCTCTGTTTTTTGAGACACTCTCTCACCAAACCTGAAGCTCATTGTTTTACAGGCTGGCTACCCAGCAAAGTCTGGAATCAGTCTATCTCTGCTCCCCAACACGGAGATTAAAGGAACATGGAAGAGCTGGGGATTTGAACTCAGGCCTCTCTGCTTTCACAGCAAGAGCTCTTCTTTCTCACTAAGCTGTCTCCTCAGCCCATTCACACTTTCTGACCACAGTATGACTGTCTTTTGTTAGTGCTGAACCCTGAAGGCCATGGTGCCTGCCCCAAGGAAAGCTGTTAAAGAACACCAAAATTCTCATAAAGGGACTTACCAGTTGACTTCATTTGTGGGGTGACTGGGGACCATCTTCAACTGTTTCTCCAATCTCAGAATGCAAGTGGGGCTGAGCTGCTGGGAACTTTGGAGCCTTGCTACTTACTGTGTGACAGGAAACTGATTTGTATTGTTTGGCAAGACTTTTATTAGTAGTGGTAACAATCTTAAGTGGTTCTGT